TCCGTGTTCCGGGTGTTCGCGAGGTTTTTTTTCCACTGGGGGGTTACAAATGGGCCACTGCTTCGTTACTGGGCACCAATTACCCGAACACTTTATCGCGGTAAGTGTCTTTAACGAATCTGGAAAGCGAGAAAATCTGAAAAAGAACAGCTTTGGAAAATTTGGATTTCAGAGTTATGTTTTGACGTATAGCACCTCCGTAAAGCTTTTTTGGCATTTCTCGGGTGAAAGATGAGTTCATTGTCAATCGCAGGAATACGGCTGTGAAATCCGAAGCTTTGGGGGCTGTTTATGTTGGGCCTTTGATTAAGCTTTGTGAGGCCTAGTTTTGGTTAAAAAAAACCAGTTCATGTTTATACAGCGGACAACACAATACTGAACTTTTCTTGTCCAAAATCTGTCTTATTGTATGAACGCGTTCAGACTTTGCCTCGCGCGATTCGATCGCGCGCTCGGATTCTCGACCACGACCGGGGCGCTCCGCCTCCAAGCGTTGCGCCGCCACAACGGCAAAATTCAGATTTGGCCGCGTTCACACACTGTCAGTGAGTTGTGCCGTTGTGATGTTGCACCGTTTGGCGGTGCAGCGCCGGTGCTGGTCGCGCGATCGCGAACTCTGAACGCGGCCTGACTGAATTTTCCTGGTTATTTCTGTAACAGAGTTAAACTGAGAACAATTGAATCCTCAAACGAACATCATATTTTGGTGTAAATTATGTTTGCGTTTTTTAGCATCATCGTAATAAACTCAAAGGGGCGTCGCCTGGACTATGACTGTAAGAAACGGCAGCAGAGGAGAGGTGAGTGTAATTTCCTTTCCATTCTCTGTGAGAAAAGGCGCGAGCACCTCACTCATAAGCTGATTTCGACTCAAGGGATTTGCTTAAAATAGAAGGAGGGCGTTATTGGTAGATACCACTATGCGGCCCGTTCTGTTTAGCGCTGTTTTAGTGGAAGAACTGCAGCTTGATAACTTAAGATTTCGAAAGAAATCGCTCTTGAGGTCTAGCAGAGGTTGTCCTGTGGCATATATAATGACCTCGCCGCTACTATTTCTCACTTCGCCTTTTCGATTTCAGATGATGAACTGATTCAAGCTGAGGAAAAGTTGGAGGAATCGAAGAGACTTGCTGAAATGGCCATGTTCAATGTGTTGAGCAACGATGTTGGCTTGCATCTTTTGTTTGCCAGAACTTAAACTTATGACGTGGATGTTAGTTCCAGGTGGAACAAGTGTCTCAACTGCGAGCTCTTGTTGATGCACAATTGGATTTCCACCGACAGACAACACAAGTACTCGAAGCCTTGCAAGCGCAACTTGCCGCAAGGTTCGATTTTATTGTTTTCTCTGGTCCGATAAACCTCTCTTACCGCATTTTTCAACACACCTATCTAATTCTAATAGAACTAAATGTTTAAGCATGAAAAAGCCTCGAAAAGTTTTTCTGCAAAAGACTCCAAAGATCCGAAGAGGAATCCAAAATTTCTTGCAAAGTTGTTTCCTTCTTGTTGCGAGAACGTTAGGAGCCTTCCCCGGATCTCTGGAGTCCCTCGCAGTGAAAATTTGGTGTCTCTTAATTTTTTTCACATAAAGGTTCCAATGATGCTCCGCGACAGCACAGTACTACTATATTTAATAGTACTGGTCATGTAGATCAGTGTAATTAGTAATAAATTCAGAGTGAAAGAAGCAAGTTGTCGCCCTCGAGCGGAGCACCACCCTCAGCCAGTACTCACCAACAGGACTCCTCGCTCCAGGTATATTTCCGAGTCGTTTTGGAATTCCGTTTCTCGAGATGAGAACGCATGTTTTAATTTTCGCAGTTTGATCCATTTCTCGGCGGCTTTCCATTTTTGTTTAATTAAACACTATATGTTCAGATCTCCTGCAGCGGACGGATTCGGTGGACAGTCAAGCGGATTTGAACAACCACCACCCTATTCAAATGGTGGCGGATTCCAGGCATCTGTTGCATATCCAGCAGCACCTGCTGCGCAGCAGCAACAACAGCAACAGCAGCAACAGAAACCATCAGCAAGGGCTATGTTTGACTTCGATGCACAGAACGAAGGAGAAGTAGGTTATTTTAAGCGGAGTACACTATGGGTAGAGGGGTTTCATGGAAACTTTTGAAACGCGTAGAACATAGGTCGCAATTTTGGTAAAGTGGGCCATTTTTGCACGCTAGAAATAGCGCAGATTTGTGGGATAACGCAGAGGCATATTTTGTCACTCGAGGCAGTCGTGGTTTGGTGAAAAAAATTTTTCGTAGTTGTTTTGTCCCACTTTAGACATGTCATATATCTTGAGTATAGAAAGATTACCCCTATCATTTATTGACGAAGCTTTATTTCTATTTATTTGTTGCGTCCTTAGGACGCGTTATGGTAACTTTCACGTCCTACCGTTGAGGAATATTTTCCTCCCTCCCTCCCACCCCCTTCAAAATTTCATTTCGGGATATGTCACAAGACAATCGCAGTATGACACACGAGGGGAGGAGGGGGGGGGGATGGCCACGATGCCGCACTTGGCGGACGAGTTCTTCCGCCTCCGTTGCAATTTGAGTTCAAGGGGACGGGAAAATTTGATATAGCCTCCCACGGAATCTTGTTTCCGCTTGAATTTATGTGAATTTCGTTGCTCGAATCAACAAACTGATGGCATCAGGAATTCGTCGCGCACTCGTACCGTGCCGCGAATCACGATTGTCCTGTCCGTCTATCCGGATTTCCTCCCTGGTGCGACCTCGTTCCCCATCCCCCATACTACTTTACTTACCATCTTCCTAAACTTTCCCAACTTGTACCAGTTTTCTGTTTTCTTTTTCGGAAGTTCTATTTTTTACCCAAAACACTGTAGTTGAGTGAGGAGGGGAGGGGTGTATATAGCGCACTTGAAACAGGAAAACTGAGGAAGAAATCAATCGAAAGCAACAAGGAACTCTTTCCTTCAAGCCAGAAAGAGCATCTCCCTCCAGCGACTGAATACGACACCCTCGTTAGGGGATCCCGACGTGCCTTTCGTCAACTCCTTCCCTCTCCAAATATTATTCCACATATCGATAGTGCTTTGGTCTGGAAAGAGTCCTTCTGAGGCAGCAATGTTCCTCAATGCTATGGTATAAGGCAGCGATTAGTCTTCGTAATGGTCCGCGTCGACGCGCTATTAGCGCTCTAACGCGCTGATGCAGTACAGTTCCAACAGAGCTCCAGTGCTGCAGACACGAACGCCCGAGGATCGAGCGCCGCCGGTCGCTTGTATTGAGAGTATGGGGGAACGAAGGAGTTGCCTAATCACGCAGTCTGCTATCGATCGAGACGACCGCTAGGGTTTTGGGGGAGTATAAAAGTATTGGAGAGTACCAGATCGTGCGAAGGCAACGCCTGCCCTCCTGTTATCCTATAGTCTCTGAAAACACAAGCGGAAGGCGCCGATTTCCGTCTGCAGCTGCTTTGGCGTGTACAGTATTGTAGCACTGTTGCAATAGTAGCGCAGCAACGTGTGCCACAGCGCGTTACGGCGCGTCATCACCAATGCTGAATGCTGCCTAAAACGGTCTTTAGTAGATACGAGGTAATAAACTATATTAAAATCAACATTTTTCGCTTTTTTGAAAAGACTTGGTACTGGACTTATTTAGAATTATATTGTTGTATTTCAGCTAAATCTCAAGGAAGGTCAAGTAGTGGAACTTGTTGCGCAGGTGGATGAAAACTGGTTCGAGGGCCGATTGAATGGGAAGAATGGTCTGTTTCCGATTGCTTATGTACAAGTTTTGGTTCCACTGAGATGAATTCTGGAAATGATTTGTCATACTCGCAACATATTCCCATTTACTTTCCGACTTTCACATAGCTATGTTTCCTTTGTATAGGATTTGTCTTCATATTTTCATTAATTTTTATTTCTCATTGCAAATTGTAATGATAAGTTTGTCCGAGAGTATATTGCACCTTCACCGTTTGCATTTCCCTGTTGCCCACATTTCTTTTATTCGCGCCTGTTCACCGTTTGATTGCTAAGATGTGCCATTTACATCTTTATCATCACCATTAGTTTAGATGTGTGTAGTGGGGTCTTCTGAGCAATAATCACATATTTAGCAGCCTGCAGCACATTATGACCAGCTTTATATATCTTACTCATAAAAAGAGCTAGTAAAATAGACTATACGAGAGCGCAAGTATCGTATAGATACGCATTCCTTTACGTTACTTGTCAAGAACTTACATGTTATAGACGGGTTAGGAGATGACGTGTCATTGACGTCACCAAATACCATCCATAGGTAGACATTTTAGCGCCAAATTGATGGGGGAAGCAGAAGAGGGGGACCCACGCGCCTTCTTCCCGAACCCACACGTAGATCGCAGATGGCCAGAGTCGCGTAGAATCTGTCTTCTCTGCGAGAGCAACTCCCCCGCCTCTGACTATCCGTGCTCTAAGCCTTTATTAGGGGAAGGGACACAGACGGTCGAGCGCCTCCTTTCTCCTGCTCCTCCTTTCCAGATACTTAGTGTCGATATTTTTAGATTCATCAACCAAGATTTTCAAAAGCGAAGCAGAGGTTTGTCATCAGGAAGTAGCACCCATCTTGTTCATGTTTTTTTTTTGGAAAAGGTTCTAAATAAACAATGTGGGTTATACAGTTGATATCGTGGCACCGATTGGGGGGGGGGGATAACAGGAGGCATAATAAGAGCTCGCTCGCGGCGTTTTACACCAGTGGTTGTTTTCTTCCTGAACCGATCACTATTGGTGGAAAATGCAGCCGGTATGGGCTCAGTCCACGCCTTCCGACACCGCCCCGAGTGATTGCGACGATATCAGCTATATATGGTCGGAAGCTGCTTCGTCGATGACACATTATATCCTAGCGCGTCTATGACATGTTATCCCATAGCACGTAACATTTTGGAGTGCGGAATTATACCATACTTGCACCTAGTTGAGCACAGCACTCATGGGATGAAAGAGGTTGCTGTAATCATGTAAAAGTTTATTGGATTGGAGGGAAGTGGTTATCACAAATTGTCTAAATCTATAAATTCAGATTAGGGAGCGCTTTTTCGTTTATCATGAATGCTGTGTTGTAATCGAGCGTGGACGTGTTACCGTATTGCTCGCCCCATTGAGCTCCGTTCATAGCTTGCGACGATCCGCGATTATGATGAAAAGAAAGTATAGATATCGATCGGATGCTTTCGGCGACTACGCTCGGAACATTAGATACGTATCGATGAGATACCAATTTGGTCAGATCGATACTATCTCTTTTGGGCGTAGTCGCCGAAAACGCAAGGTATGAACGCAGCCTCGCCGTCGTTTGGCTTTGACGTCCACGCTCGTGATTTTTAATGCAACTATGTATACTTTCATTATGGTTGTTCATGAGTTCGGTGGTGTTTGTTCTTCAGTTCGGTGGTGATAGCTAACTATTTTCCTAAATTATTTTGACTTTTGACTTTGTAAATGTAGTACGAGCCGCCAGTTTGATGTCTAGTCCTCAAATCCAGTTCACTGAATATTTTCTTCTACATTTTCTCTGTGCATTTCTGTTCGTACTGGCGGTTAGACGTGTGCACTATAAATGAAAAAAGTTCAGTTCACTTTGGCCACAGCCGTTCTTGTCACAAAGATTTTCTGGCATTTATTGTAGGATTTCTTGGAATAAATCGTATCTCTTTTGGGCGTAGTCGCCGAAAACGCAAGGTATGAACGCAGCCTCGCCGTCGTTTGGCTTTGACGTCCACGCTCGTGATTTTTAATGCAACTATGTATACTTTCATTATGGTTGTTCATGAGTTCGGTGGTGTTTGTTCTTCAGTTCGGTGGTGATAGCTAACTATTTTCCTAAATTATTTTGACTTTTGACTTTGTAAATGTAGTACGAGCCGCCAGTTTGATGTCTAGTCCTCAAATCCAGTTCACTGAATATTTTCTTCTACATTTTCTCTGTGCATTTCTGTTCGTACTGGCGGTTAGACGTGTGCACTATAAATGAAAAAAGTTCAGTTCACTTTGGCCACAGCCGTTCTTGTCACAAAGATTTTCTGGCATTTATTGTAGGATTTCTTGGAATAAATCGTAACATCAACCAGTATTTGTGGTCATTAAATACTCACAGTAGAGAAATATTGCCAGAAACAAAAGCACTGAAAGACAGTTGTGAACATAACGCAACATGTTTCCATGTACGCGCAACTTGCATCATAATTTCGTACTTCGTTTTCAAGTCAGCTCATCAATCTGCCTGGCACACGTTTGAGGCAGTACGAATAGGATCGAAGTGTGATCCCTCTAGTTAACCAGCGACTAGCAAGTAAGGAACTTGGGAGGGATCCCTGGCTCTGCTCCACGTGTACAGAGCTAGGCAAAAAGGCTGAGGTGGGTAACCGTGTAGTGTAGTTCGTTGGGCGTTTCAGGCGGGATGAGTTTGGCGCGGTGCCAAGACCCGTTCTCCACCAATTGTTAAAGCGAGCAAATGATATGACTGTATCATATCGTTCGTATTACTCGTTTTCTACCACTTTTTGTCGCATGCGCGCTTCAACAAGAAGGCAGAGAACGGCTTTGACGGAGTGACACACGGGAGATAGCCAGGAGTCACCGCCGCCTCGAATACTCGAAATCCCTGAGATGCGGTAGGCGTTGCTGCGTATTTCATCTAAATGCGGTGGGTGGCGCTTTTTCGGCACAATTGTTGTCGTGTCTCTGTCCATCATAGAACAAGATGTCTCAGATAGAAATGTCCAACGAGTAACTCATCCCATGTAATGTCCAAATGCCACGCCCACTTCGTCTCAGGGATAAGGAGTGTAGGTCACCGCGCGCGGCGACCTGGTCGCGTGGCGCGGCGGTGAGTCCTGACCTGGCATTTTGCCAACTTCCGATCGATATGACCCTATCGCAGTTTGCTTGGAGCGTTCTTTCTTTTCCTCATCTTCCATCTGCCAAGAACATGTCCAAACAGGTAAACATGTTCAAACATGTTAAAGCATGTAATCGCCGCGCGCGGTGACCCACTTCCCAGCGCGGCGACCTAGTTTCGAGCGCGGCGGTGAGTCCTGACACACACACACTCGGTGACGCACTGATACTGATTGACACGCCTAACGGTCCGCAGCGAACTGGAGTGTAACTGCTTACTAAACGCCAAATGCTAACTGTTGCTAGCTACTGCTTAACACGAGCGAGCGTGTGTTTTGGATCGACGGCTAAGCGGCTTGGGTTCGTTAAGAAGTGTGATCTACGGCTGACCATAAGCCGATGACAATTTTGTTCGCCGCGGATGATGGAACGTGCCAAAGGAGGATGCGTTAAGCGTGACGCCAGCCCATTTTTTTCCTTTGAGCCAGCTACGAGATTGTACCGCATCAATCGTATTTCGTTTTCCACCAGCTGCTGTTGCTTACTCGCTTCACCGAGATGGAGAACGGGCTGGAACGGTGTGCCACTCGTGGCCTATCGATGTTGTCCATATTGTTTCTATCTATTCACTTATTTTTCCTATTTGCATAGGTCACTTATCCATTGTGGAAAATAGTAAGAAAAGCTAGTCAAGAGTGCGGAAAATAGTAGGAAGCTAGTCAGAAGCTTCATGAAGTTGTTTTGATAATAATGACTGTTTCACGCCGCAGTTCGCGTTCCGAAAGTTATCACAAGAATGCTGAGTTGTGGGCAAAAGTCGTGCCCCAGGCGGGAGTCGAACCCGCACCTCACGCTTTCCGGGCGAGTGCGCTATCCGTTACGCCACCAGGGCCGCTTTTACCCTCTCAGCTCAACGGCTTTTATGCCGTAGCCTCAGCACTCACGTTTAACATGGTGAGCCGGTCAGCCGTAATCGTTAGATATCGGCCATGAACCGCTAGGCCGAAGGCTTCAGAAGTGTGAGTGCTGTAAGGCTACGGCATAAAAGCCGTTGAGCTGAGAGGGAAGCGGCCCTGGTGGCGTAACGGATAGCGCACTCGCCCGGAAAGCGTGAGGTGCGGGTTCGACTCCCGCCTGGGGCACGACTTTTGCCCACAACTCAGCATTCTTGTGATAACTAGTCAGGAGCCTCAAAGTGACATTTGACTAATAGATTCAATGAAAAATCATAGGGGATATCAAGCTATGGTAAGATGCCCTTCGACTGCAAGGCAGAGCATGATTAACTATGTCAACGTCTTTGGAAGCAGAGCCTTCCCCTTTTTCTTTCTAGTGCTGATCGCGTGGTGTGGTATCCGCTGTTCTTGATAGACACCTTCTATCCACAACGCCTTCAGCCGTGGCATTGGCAGTACAGAACCCCTGAGAAAACGAAACTGATCAGAGTTCTGGATAGTAGACATGCCGTACCCCTAATGATTTGCTTCCGGCCCATCAAATGAGAGTGAAATTCCATAAAAGTAGTAGGAGAAGCGATAACTTTGAAAAAGGCTACTGTTTAGCCGTAACGCTCCTCGTGGTACGGAAAGTGAGGGGCCTCCTAATGAACAGTAAGACATTAAATGCAGACACATCGTTCATGAGTACAGCAAAAGTTTAGCATTAATAAGCAGTGGTATAATAGTTGACTGCAACTACGGACTGGCCGCTGCGTGAGGTCATCAGAAAGGAGAAAGGCTCACTTATTCACAGTCTTGTCGCTCAGATGATAGGGCGTGTCAGAGCCGATGAGTTTGCCGCAAAGCCAGCCCGTTTCATTTTTTTTCAAGCAAGCGACAAGACTGTATCATATCGTTCGTATCAGTTGTTTTCCACCATTTGTTGTCGCCTACCCGCCTCAATACACTCTAGTTCTCTGCGGAC